CTTTGAGGCACCAAAACGTGTGCTGGCCAGTGTTTTCATTTAAGTGAAAAAATTGGAGTTTTAATTTTTTTTTTAATATGGTGTGACATAAGGCGTCAGCTTCAGTCTTTTGTGTGGACGATACCCTTTTGGCTCAGCACATGGGTTGACATGATTCTTCTTTCTCAGTGAAATGGCTTTGGTCCCCTTGCTGGAAATCCAATGCCTGTATCAGGGCTTATTTCTACACCCCGTGCTAGCCGATTGACCTATATGTCAGTATGGCATACAGCGTACAGGTCCCACACTGCCTTGATTGCATTAATTTTAGAGTAAGATTTGAACTTGGGAAGTGTGAGTCTATCAATTTTGCTCCTTTTTTTTTTTTTGAGGTGGTCTGGCTATTCTGGTCATGCAGCAGATTGGTCATGCGCACTGTAGCGCCATCACCTGCTCTCTCGCCTTGCCGATGGGCTGGAGAGCCCAGGAAAATCTGGCCAGCCTGCATATTAGGGTGAGAATTCCTACTATGCTGCTCTTCACAGGTTATTTGGCCAGGGGTGTTCTGATGAGCAAACTTAGTCCAATACAAGGGAGTGAAAGGAGGAATTCGGATGGATGGATCAGACCCCTCAACCCAGAGAAATTAATCCAACCCCAAAACCCCAGCCTTCCCTGCTCTTACCTCCTCTTCTTGCCAGTCAGCTTTGCAAACCAAAATCAATCAAGCCTACTCCCATGCCGTCAGTTCCATCGCACACAACCTACAGGACAAAGTAGACTGATCGAAAGCATGTCCACGGCTCTCAATCTTTATGAAAACGAACTGCCTCCTCTTTCTTCTCCAGAGCAGCTGGTAGGTTTGAACCGTCAACCTTTCAGTTAGCAACCCAGCTTACTGTGCTACCATGGCTCCATGGCCAAGGTTTAGGTGGTTCTCATTTTATCCAGGTCCACTTGAGCCAAGACGGTCCCCAGGCAGTGTAAATGGTTAACATACTCAGCTGCGAGCTGGAAGGTTGGAGATTCTAGCCCACCCAGGGGCACCTTGAAAGAAATGCCTAGTGATTGGATGCTCCAAAAGCCAGCCACCGAAAGCCCTATGGAGAACAGTTCTCCACTGACGCACGTGGGATCACAGATCTCCCCAGTCTTTGTCTTGGGTCCACGTCACGCCCTTCATTCTCTCGGCCCTTCCTAAGCACGGCTCTCCGCACAATGGCGCAGGATGGGAGCTGTCTATCCTGTTGGCCGGGGCACCTCTGACCCCTTCCCCTTGCTTCTCACAGACACAAAAGCAGTCGCGATGCCTGAGCTGCAGGCACGGATTTTGCTGGTGGATGGAACCTTTTCCCCCTTTGGGACTTTCCGCCCTTATCTTAAGGAGACAGGCAAGGAGGATGGAGAGAGAGGAACGGATCAGAAGGTCAGTTTCCTGAAAGACCTCAGGATACGCAGATGACGACTGCTTGGGACCACAATGCTGAGGGCTTACAGCTTTGATCGTTTTTCAAAACATGGCCCCCAGCAGGAAGCTCTTTTTAATGAAGAAGTAATCAAACCAAGTCGGACTTCTTCATCTCCATGGGGCGCTGGAGTTTCTCCTTGTCACGCTGCAGGGTGCGGTGAGGGGAGGGAGGGGCAGGCGGGCATCTCCACAGCACCACTGCTGGCTGAGCAAACTGGGGCCCGTTACCCCAGCCTCGAGACGTAGCTCCCTCAGAGGACGATGGCAGCAGAAGTGCAGTGTTCATTATTGTCGAGAATAATACGAGTTACCGTTTTAAAAAATGCTTTCTCTGTGCCAGTTCCAGTGTAAATACATTGTTCAAACCAAGCAGGGGGAAAGGAAAAGACGGCATGACTCCCAGAGCCGTGCGCGGGCATCCCGTGGGCATCTGCTGTGTATCGGGTCCTCTGCTGGTCCTCAAATGTGTCACCGGATGCGTGCGGTCCAAGCTCTTTGTGCCTGGCACAGAGGAAGCAGTCTGTGCTGTAGGTGAAGGCCTGGCTCAAGATCGAATGCCAGGCTGGCCTTTTGCCTCTCCCCCTGCCTCCTCCTCCGCTTGTTTCCCAGCGTCCATCCAGGCCCCAGGCTGTGGAGCCAGTAGCCTGGGGAGCAAGGGCACTGGCGGGTGGGCATAGGGATTTCGGTGGGATGCTGAGAAGGGGACTGTCTGGCCTTTTGATGGTTGGAGTCCTTGCCCTCTCGGTAGTCCACATGCCCTCCTCGCCCTCGTGGCATCGTGGTTATGCATTGGGCTGCTCACCACAAGGTCAGTTCGAAACCACTAGCTGCCCCATGGGAGGAACACGAGGCTTTCTATCCCCATAAAGCGTTAGTCTCAGAAACACACGGGGCCAGTTCTGCCCTGCCCTAGAAGGTCACTATGAGCTGGGATCAGCTCAGGGACAGTGAGTTTGGTTGGTTGGGAGCCCTGCTGGAGGATCACCAACCTTATTTATCGTGCTGTAGAAACCCCACATCTCTTGATAGTTGCTGCTGATCCTCAGAGCACTCCCAGAAAACCTGTTGCTGATTCTTTATAGCCATTTAGAGCTCAGCCTTGTAGCTATGCAATGGTTGGCATTTCTGGGGCCAGTTACCTCAGCCATGAAGTAGCAACCATGGTGCCCGACCCCTAGGGTGTGGGAAGGGTTAGAAAGAAGGCACACAGTAGGTGGGGGGCCTGGCACACAGTGGGCCTCCCTCTGTGGGGCCATCCAGTAAGCCAGGCTCACCACCCTGGGGGCACTACACCCTCCACTGCCTGTGGGGGACCAGTGGTCAAGGACAGGCCTGTGTGCTGGAGTTGGAGGCTCTGGATCTGGAAGAGACAGGTCCCACAGAAGTGGGTCATTGAAAGACAGTTGTTGGCACCAATCAGGGTATTGGCTGGATTAGGTTCATCGCTGAATGAGAGGATCTCAGTACCCTGTTTCAGACCTCCAGGAGCCCTGGGGCCATGATGGACCACTAATGGCCAAGTCAGCAGTTCAAAACCACCAGCTGCTCCGCAGGACAAAGATGAGGCTTTCTGACCCCACAGAGTTCCAGTCTCAGAAACCCACAGGGGGAGTTCTGCTCTGTCCTGTGGGGCCACTACGAGGCAGCGAGTGTCTGGGGCAGGGGCTGCTCTAAGGCACCCACTCCCTCCTTCTGTTCCCCATTCTACTCTTCCAGCAGCAGCCCCCCCCCCAATGGAAACAAGCCTGTGAAGAAATGAATTCTAAGACAGAAATGAGCAAATGATAGTCTCAGCCCGTACATCCCTCACCTCTGCTGGGGTTGTTTCATTTTGTTTTGTTCTAAATCGTTTTATTGACGTAAACTTCACATAGTATATGATTTAATCATGCAGTCATATTAAGAATAGATCCCACAACATTTTCTTCTCGTACTCCTTGTTGCTAGCTCCCCATGCCCCCCACCCTCCGCTGCCGTGCCCCTATCCAGTAACTGGATCTACTGCTCCTGGACTTCAGACGGCAGAAAATCATGCAAAGCCAACCAACCAACCAAAAGGGCCAACAGCAAGGACGAGACGAAACATAGAAACCCTCCATCAGAGAGAGAGCAGGAAATATTAAAACCTGAAACAACTTTGAAATGGGTCAAAAGGGAGATCCAGTGATCGGGTATTACATTCTGCCATCGGCAACTTTGCAATGCTCTCCGATAACAGCCACTCACACCCCTCACCTGCGGTCACAGGAGATTCACCAGAGACTTAACTTAACCATGTGGGGCCCGTGCACATGGATTTGGGGCATCCACAGTCATCCAGAGGCTTCTACAAACCAGGTGTTCACAGTCTGGTTTGGCTTTCCTCGCATACGACCATCACGTCATTAGGCATTCAGAGCGGGCGCAGGAAGATGTCTTCTCTCGGCTCCATGGTGCCCCGGGCCTCCATGGGTGAGACTTACAGGCTAAGGGACATGGTGGCTGCAGGCAGAACCCAGTGGTTGGGGCTGGCTGGCTGGCATCTGAAGCCTCTGCTGGGGCCTGGCCTGCTACGTGGCCTCTTTTTATCTTCCTTTTTTAACTTTATCGTGACCCAGTGGATCGTAATTTCACACTTGACAACTCATGCGCATTCTGATTGAATCCGTCTATCGCAGCCCCCTCAACCTCCCATCTCACCTCCTCCCCGTCTCCTTCTCGTCTCATTCCATTCTTCCTCCTCTCCTCGTTCTCGGAACCTCCTTTCCTAACCCTCAGTCCTTGGGCAACTGCTGCGCTTGGGATCTTAAGTGGTCGATGATTCCGGTATCTTACCATCAGGTGAGCTCAGTTCCAGAGCGGAAGGTAAAAGGTCATGATCTGGGGGTCCCCCAGAGGCCTGGGCTCCTGTGTGCTTGATTGCATTCCTTGTTGGTCTCCCGCCTTCTCCCCCACCCGGGTTTGCACCGCCATCGGTTAGGGAGTTTCTGCGTCTTTCAATGGGGGGTAGGGGAGGAGACCAAAGAATCAGTCTTTCCAGAGACAGGGGAATGACACTGTGGGGGGGCACATCACACCCACTTGCTTGTGTCCTGGCATTGCCTCTGGACCGGTGCTTATGAGTCGAGCACTTGTGATGGAGACCATGTGGACCACCACATCTGAAATATTTCCTCTTTGGCCCTTTAAGAAAAAGCTTGCTGACCTGCGCTCACAGATATTTAGAGCTGTCCCCTAAACAAGGGGAAGGAGCAAACTGGAGGGGTCCCCGCCCTGTGGGCACCTGCACTGCACAGGCCACTTTGGGACGGGCTGCGGTCCTGACGCCTGGGGAGGCAGAAGGCTGAGAGCCGCCCAGTCCTGCAGGTGGGGCTTTTGCTGCCCACCCTGGGAGAGGGAGCAGGGGAGCAGGGTGGTGAGACCTGTGACTCATTTCCGATGCACAGTCAGCAGGCCCGGAAGTGGAATTCTAGCCTCCCATCGCTCAGCTGCCCTGCTGGCTGGTGGCAGTGGTTTTACCTGGGCCCTCACGGTACCCTGTCTGCAACCGCCCCCGCCCCTCCTGTCTCTGCAGAGTTTGCCAGCTGCCAGGTGGACGCCCCCATCGCGCTGACCCTCGGCCTGGACATCCTGTGTGACTTGCTCCAGCAGTGGGACCAGCTGGCCCCCGGGGTCCCCATCCTGCTGAGATGGCTGCTGGGCGAGGCTGATGACTTTGCAGACTGTGTGGTGAGCTCAAGTCAGGTAATTGGGCTCCAGGGGGTGGTGCCGGCTGGCATGTCCTGAGCTCAGTGGACAGCGCACGTAGCAAGCTCCACTGAACGCACTGGGGTGTGCTTGGATACAGAGGCAGGCCCAGGGTGAAAGCCTCCACCTACGGGTGCTGCAGTGGCGTGGGAGGGATCACAGGAAAAGCTGCTTTGGGACTTCCAGTGGGCAGCCTGCAGATCAGTGCGGGAGCAGGACTTGGAAAGGGGCCCGGGGACATCCCTAGCGGAGTAGGGAAGGTACAGACTGCTCCAGGCCACTTTCAGAGGACCCAGCAAAATGACTCTCAGTAAAATCTGCATGGTATTTCAGCAAAAAAAATGTATTATTTTTTAATGAAAATAACCCTGTAAAGTTAGAACAACAAAAACATTTTTCATAAGCCTAGCTTACACCTATCAATCTATCTTCAAGGCTAAAAACTCTAGACTACCTTTGCGGGTGCTCCTGAGGAGTAGCGGTTACACATTAGGCTGTGATCAGCAAGGTCAGGAGTTTGAAACCACCAGCTGCTCCTCGGGAGAAAGATGAGGCTTTCTACTCTCGGAAACTCACAGGGCAGTTCTACCCTGTCCTGTAGGGTCACCATGAGTCAGCATCAACTGAATGGCAGTAAGTCAAGGTATTTATCACGTTAATCAATTATTCAAATTGGTAATAAACGTTACTAAGGGAATATGGTCTCGTCTGAGGTCTATGTGTGGGGAGTGATACCATGAGTCACCTTGCTGGGTGACATCCACCTCAGTGACATCACCGGAGCAGCCTAGGCCTCCCCAAGGACAAGGATGACGTATTTCCCAATAAACAGGGTTCTTGTAGGGCACTGGCTGCTTTCAGGAAGCCACTAGCCCTCTCCAGCTGTGGGCCGACACACTAATAGATGAGGAAACCGAGGGCCCAGGTGAGCAGGGAAAACATCTTGGGATATGAAAATCTGGCCCCCAGTGTCTGCCTCTGCTGGTTGTCCAGGCTCCCGAGCAGACCGGGCCTCCCAACAGCAGCCTGATGATAGGGAACGTGGAGACCGACCCAGGGAGTCTGTGATAAACCAGCCTGGAGGACCGCCCCCCCTCCCCCCCCCCAGCACATGGACACCGGGCTTCCTGCTAGAGACCGGGACCTGGGGCTGGCTGATTATTTGCTCCTGAATCTTCCCATCCTCCCTCCTGGCCCCCACCCCCACCCCTTAGCTCCAGGACCACTTGCATGCTGAGGTTCCCTGTGCACCTAGCTTTCAACATCAGGCACCCAAAATATCCCAACTTTGAGCCACAAACACATCGTTATCAAAGGTCATGTTAAGTCTAGGGGGGAAATTCCTCCCCGGGGGAGATGCACCCTGAGTGAAAACAGAAAGTGACTTTCAAGGCTGCACATGGGTGTGTGCGTGGGTGTTGACAGGCGAGAGGGGGCCCTTGGGCAGTGGGGGGGGGGACGACGTGCCTCTCCTGCAGCTGGCCCAGCCTGGGACTTGTCAGCGTTCCCCATTAAGCTGACATTTGGCTTTTTCCTGGGTTTAGGTGGACGACGACTACCTATTCGAAAAAACAGACGTCAGCTTTTGGGCCGAGACCCTGGTCTTTGTGAAATGCCTCTACAAACATCTCTTCCAGCTGCTTTCCAGACCCGGCCCGCGTCCCGCCAGCCCCCCGAGCCTCCAGCCCCTCCGAAGGACAGTGTCTGAGCAGCAGCGCCTCCTCTCCGACCTCTTCAGAAAGCTGCCCCCCAATGCCGTGTTTCTGAAGACGGCGGAGGTCACCAGACTGCGCCTTCAGGAGGAAAGGACTTTGGCTTGTCAGAGGCTGCTGGCCCTTCTGGAAGGACAGGACCAAGAAAAAAGCCAAGTTCTCAATGCTTCAGAATCTCCTCCAGAAGCGCCTTCAGCTACCTCTGGAAGGACGTGTTGAGGAAAGATGTTTGAAGGGGTGAGGGGCGGGCTCTTTCCTTCACTCAATCTGCAGGAATGGGAACATACCACCCGCACCCCCTCTTCACGCCTCCCCAGTTGTGCGCCCAGGCTCGTGGCCTGTCCTCCCGCCAAGCTCCCTGCAGCGACTGCACGAAGCATGACGTGACGGGACTACCTCCCGGAATGTTTTCTGGGTTCCCAGGTGCAGGCCACCTGCAGGCCTGAATTAGCCTCTTTTGCTCCCCAACACCTCGAACATCCAGCCACAGCCCGTCAACTGGCTGTGCCCCCCCAAAGAAAAACAACTCACTGGGTCCCCCCCAGTCCATGTCAACTCATAATGACCCTATACAGAATTGGGGTTTGGGTGGTTTGGGGTCCTGTTTTTCCAGGATTCGGTTTTAACACAATCTCCCCCCTCCCGCCCCTCTTTGGTTGGCTGGGAAGAGGGGCTGGATTTGTGGGCATACAGCCCGTTTGATCCGAGTTCTAGCTTTCATTCCATTGCAGCGAGGCAGCCGGAATATATTCCAACTGTCGAATCCTGAGAGAATTACTGATCAACTTCATACAGATTTTGTTTTTATTGTTTGCATATGTACGACCTGCAGTGACTTATGCATTCCTTCCTATTAAAATAACCACTGACAGCTCCCTTTGCCCCCCAAAAGAGGCTGACAAGGCTAGGAAACCAGCCCTTGCCACCCAGAGGAAGGAAGCGTGCTCTGTGGGCAGGCGCCTCCTGGGCTGGGGGGGTGGGGGTGCCCACAATAAATGACTTACTTGATGCTTACACTGTTTACGATCATTTGCTTGTTGGCAGTGACAAAAAGATCCTTCCCTAAGATGGCGATAAGCACTTCTGCCCATCTCCGTGATTTGATCTCCAAACCTCCAGGGTTTCTTTACCTTTCCACGCCACCCCAGTCCTCTACCCAAAATCGCCAGCAGGTGTCACCCTTGCATACATTTTGCAGCCGGGCTCAGTTTTCAGTGTTGTCATTTCAAGAACTCTTACAGGGCCTGAGATTCCTAGCTTGGGTCTCAGCCTGTCCACGTTTATTTTTCATCTTGGCTTTCTGTAAAAGTGACTTGTGCCCATAGCTGCTTGCTCTCTAACTTCTTAGGAGTATTTTAAGCTACTTGAGTCAGGAACCCATGAATTATTTTATTGATGTTAAAGAGAAAATAACGAATTATTTTATTGATGTTAGAGATTGTCATATGATCGTTTCCAACTGCAGAAAAGGCTGACATTTCAGATGGAATTTGCTGTTTGAGTGAGAAGCACCTAACAGGAATATCGCAGCCACTGTGATGGAAGCCTAGAGAAAAGGCCGGGCCCCTGAAGGAAAAGACAAGGAAAAAGTTCACTCAATAGCTCCAGTTTAGTCCTTTAAAGGACACCAACTTTCCTGGGTAGTTTGCACCATTAGGCCCCAGATTATGTATGTTAGGCTGTGTGTGTGTGTGTGTGTGTGTATTCTCCCCACCAACTGGGAATTACCCTTGATTTCCATCTTAGCTTTGGGCAGCCTGGGAGGGTGAGAGGGACAGACATCCCCACTGGTATTGTATCTGAGACCGGATCGCAGACCTAAGAGCAGTGTCTACAGAAGTGACTGTTTCACCTTTTCCTGATGCATTGTGGGGTGGGGGTGGCAATGAGGATACCTGCTCTCTCTAGAGGCCACTTAAACAGCTGCTGACATCCGTTTTGTGGGTGCCCTGGATAGACCATCCAAATGCCAGCCACACTTGCCTAGCTCTGTCCAGGGGAGGTACAGGCTGAGTGTTAAATCAACTCACTGCCATCGAGTCAATTCCAACTCGGGGCAGTGTAGAGCTACCTGGTGAGTTTCCAAGACTGACTTAACGGTATCCGCCGGTGCTGAGTTCACACTGCTGGCCTTGCGGTTAGTAGGCCAACGCATAAACCCACGACCCACCAGGGAAGCTGGATGCTAAGAGTGAGGCAGTTTTTTCAACATTTCTGAGGCCACCATTCTGGCCACCAAGTTCAAGACTGCGAGATGTTGGCCCCTCAACTCAGAACTTCAGATTTCTTGGCTCCCCAGTCATCTGGCCCAGAGATCTGGCTTTCTACGCATTTTTGGTATGTTTAAAATGTTTTCAGTACGTAAGGCAGCTTATACTTGTTTCACTTTTAAATACCCTCATAGATATTATCTCATTTTCCCCTTGGTGAGAGAGAAGTAAACAAGGTTAATCATGATTTTACAAGAAACCCCAAGTAACTGATGATGTGCATTGACCAAGAGCACCGGGGCTGTCAAAGGGGCGGGGCCTGCACGCTAGCCCACCGTCTTAGATCCTACAGCCCCCCACAGGCCCGATGGACTCTTAAGTTGCCTGTCCCAGAATGAGGGTTCAGGCTTGTTTAAAGCGAGTGCAGGCATGGCAAAAAAAAAATCGGGGTTGGGAGGGGGTGTGGCCCTCAGCCTTCCAGCTTCGACCCAATCATGACCTGGCTTGCCAGGTGTGCAACCTCAAGAGCCGGACTCCAGCTATTTGACAGCCTGGACAGGCCAGAAGGGACAAGTGTGCGGGACCAGAAGGCGCGGCAGTAGCCTTCCTGGGCGCTAGGGGGGGCGTCCGTTCTCTTACGCGGACGGGGGCGGGGCGCTCAGTCCCGCCGAGTTGGCAAAGCGCAGTCCTTCGCGCCGGCTGTTGCGGGGGGTGTGGGGCCGAAGAGCAGGAAGCGGAGGGAAGGCACGTCCACCACCCAAGTCTTCGGTGCCCAGCCCCGGGCCTGCGGGCGGCGCCGAATTAAAAAGGGGCGCCCCCCCCCCGCCTCCAAAGAGGACTTAAAAGTGCGTTCCAGGGCCACGCTGTGCCTGAGCGAGGAGTCTCGGTGGGCAGCTGAACCCCACTTCCCCAGGAATACGGGAAGGCTAGGCCGAACACAGCGGTAGATGGACGGGACGTGGCCTCCGTGCTGGGCGACTCTCCCAGCCAGTCTTTGCAACCAGCTCCCCCGCCCGGGAAGCTCCGCGCCTTTGGCCCCGACCCAAGGTCTTGTGATGTGATTAGCAAAGCCAGTGCCTTGTCCTCAGACACTCAGCCGGCCCGGCCGCCCCGGCGCTCCAGCCCTGTTTACTGCAGATTGGGCGGGCAGGGGGGCGGAGAAACGCGCCCGGCCCCGCCGGGTAAGACCGCTACCGCGGTCGGCCTCGTGGCCTCGCCCGCCCCCACCCGGCCGCGACTCCACGTGCCAGGGCTGGAACCCCCGCCCCCGGGCCGGAGCCCCGGGCGCGCGGACGGACGGTGACAATAGGGGTGCGTTTCGCAATTCCCGCGCCCCGTACACAACCACGGGTAAAAGATAAAAAGCTCCTCTCGAGCGCCTGCCTAGCAGGATCGGACGAGGAAAGACACGTCTAGAGCCGCAGAACCCCCGTTACGTTATACGTGCCGGGGCTTCCCACCCCGAAGCCCAGCACGCGGGGAGCCGCTCCTTCCCGCACCCACCCAGGAGCACCCAGGGAGCTCACCACGCCGCCCAGCGCGCCCCGGCCGCCCGCCCCGCCCCAAGGCCGCTCTACGCCCCTCCCCCAGAGGAAAAAAATTGGCGGCGACCAATGGGAGGCCGGGAAGGAGGCTGACGTCCGCCAGCCGGCGGGCGGCGTTGCCTGGAGACCCCGGCCGGGTCAGCGTTCTGTCCCCTCCCCCGGCGCGCCCTCCGCCGCTGCCGCGCTCCGAGCTCTATATAGGGCGCGCGCTGGCCGGCCGCGGAGTTTCACCAGTCCGCGAGCTGCCGTCGGCTCCGCGCGGGGGGGCGGGCCGGGCACCCCGGGAGCGCGGAGGAGCGCTCTTTGCTTCCCTCAACTTTCCCCCCATTCCGCACTCCAGGGCACTGAAACCGGTCCACGCTGCTTCCCTTCCCTCTTTTCTAGCTCCCCGGCAAACTTTCGGCCCCACCTCCGCCCCTCTCCCGTTATTCGTCGTGGCTCGAGCCGGGCCGCGCCGCCTCGAGGGCTGCTCCGGACCTGTCTGCCCGCCGCTCCGACCATTACAGGATCCAGAAACATGTCGACCACACTTCTCTCTGCCTTCTACGACATCGACTTTTTGTGCAAGGTACGCGGGGGAGCTGGGTGGAGGGAGGACCGGCAGGAAGCTGGGGTTGCTTTCAGACTTGGCTTCCTTTCGGCGGCTCGGGGGGACGCCCTCCCCACCTTGGGTTTTCGAGTCGGGCGAAATCCCGGCGTTTTCCGGAGGGTGTGCTAGCCGGCACCTTGAGCGGGCCTGGAAAGGAGCTGGGAGGGAAGAAGCCAAGGAAGGGAACCCAGGGAGCTGATTCGCGTCGCCGGAGCCGACCCGCGGCCACGCCGCCCCGGGCTTCCCGGTCCCGGTATGCGCCGCCCATCCCGGCGGCCCACGAGCGAGGGTCACATGTCGCAGCCGTGCAAGGCCCGCGGTGGGCGCCCTTCGCCGCCCGCCTCCTCCCTGCGCCAACTTAATGCTCGTGGCCGGGTGGAGGGTGGAAGGGGGTGGGGGGGCCGAGGCGAAATCTGCCAAGGAAACCAAAGTCGCCAGGCTGGAAGTGAACGCCGCAGTTGGCCCCTGGCGCCTTTTTCACCCCTCCCCTGCACCCCTCGCTTTGGCAGACGGAGAAATCCCTGGCCAACCTCAGCCTGAACAGCATGCTGGACAAGAAGGCGGTGGGCTCGCCCGTGGCCGCCGCCCCGGGCTCGGCCTTCGCGCCGGGCTTCCTCCGACGGCACTCGGCCAGCAACCTGCACGCGCTCGCCCACCCCGCGCCCAGCCCCAGCAGCTGC